ATATCAATCCCTTAATGCAAAAAAGTGTACAATATTTTTTGCTATCCTATCTTTCGCTAAAACAAACTGGATGGTTCAAAAGCACGCCACGTATAATTGTCCGTGTGAAAAACATGATGTGCTCAAATCTAAGCCACAGACAGACATCGTTTGGCCTTGAGACTTATTGATAGTCATTGCAAATGCCAATCTAATTGGAAATTGAAGGCGCTTAAATTGTATTGGCACATCTGTGGGTATAATAGGGATTCACGGTAATAATATATTTTCACGGAATTTGCCATTTAAAACGATGGTTTCGATAAAATTTTTCATTAATTTTTTAACGACTAATCGCGTACCATTGAACAACCGTGGTGGGTTCAAATTACGAAGAAAAATAACCGAAGATCCAACCTTCAGTTGTAAATTATGCGGGGCTTGCCTGGTAAATCTGGTAAACCTAGTAAATCCAATTAGTTTAAAAACTCTGTTGGATAATTTACAGCTTCAGTAGCATCGCAAACTGTATCAATAGATTTGTATGACACCAAGTCTCCAGGTAACAAATATTGTATCTTGAGATTCAATTCGTTGGCGTCCACATTTTTTGGCTGCTAAAATTACTCTTTCTACCAGCCACTTATGATTTTTGTGTAGTCTGTGTGCATTGGGCAATATCTGGTCAATGAAAGCATCTTATGAATCAATGATTGTGCAGAAATCGGTCGTTAGTTTTATGCATTTCGTTTCATCTGTAGTAATTTTCCCTTCACCGATATCTAACAATTGTTTTGAGAATCTTCCGCACGCAGCTTTTTTTGATTGAATCACAAATATCAAAATCATTCGCTCTTTATCTTTACATACATGTCGACCATGAATTGTTGACAAAGCTCATGACATCGTAGAATAACGTTGTCCTGATCGCGTCTAATCATCAACCGATATTCATAATAATCCTTCGAACTAACATTCTAGTTGGTTTTGACACCTATCTTGGGATCTTGTTGTTTAATATTAATGCAATACCCGTCATTTAATATCGAAAATAAAATTAATAGTTTTTAAATAATTTTTAATAGTTTTTTAATAGTTTCATTTAATAATTCATTTTAAATTGCGCAGTTATCGACCGGTCAAAAATTATTAAATTAAACTACGATTTATTAAACAATAGCACTTTTCCAATATTTTTTTTCGTAAACACCTCCTCCTGGCAATTACGAACAATTAAGAAAAATTTGAGCCAAATCAGCTAAGTCGTTCTTAATTGATGAAATGTTATACATTTTTGGCTCCATTTTTATACATATAGATTTGAATAATTTTTATTTATACCGAAATTAACAAAAAAAAAAAAAAAAAATAAATAAAAAAAAATGAATTATAAATATATGAGAACTAATTCTCGATACTTTTTAGTTTCATATTCCCCTAATAATATGGAACATTGTTGCGTTCTTAAGGGTGAATAAGAATAATAAACCGAATGACATTTTATCGACGTGTTATATTTTCCATACAATATTTTCCAAATCATATTTTCAAAAAAATATTATTCCCTACGTATGTGACCCTATACAATAAATCATCCATGTACGTCAACCAGTAAGTACATCCGAGAAACAACTCACGGGTAACGCCTTCGATAGAGACATATACAAAGCGGGGGAGTGAATTCAACCGTAATCGAATAATACATGTTCAATTATTTTCGCAGTCTTGGAACGTACAGTTTATAAATGACGACAATCGCCATTATATTTCAATATAAACGGTATTGCAATTAAATTAATTTTAGTTTTCAGGATGGTCATATTTTCACTGTAAATATTCTAAAATCATAAGACATCTTTAATTTATTAAAAGACATTTGTTCTTTCATTGATATTTTCTACTATATATTTATGAAATATTAGTATGATGCACTTTAATTTCCTGACATTGAAGACTTTTAAAATCACTCTTGAATGGACCTCGATATGAAATTACTTCATATTTGATTTCTTTTTACATTGATGCAAAACTTTTTTTTAAATGCATTAAATAAATACATTTAGCTTTCAATAAATAAAAATTAACTTAATGTTTTTTTTTTACTAAAAATTTTACTAAATTAAATATTAAATTTTGGGTAATCGTATGAGCTTCAATTTATCCAATGTATTCAAGTCTTAGATAAAAATGTTTTTTATAAACTATTGATCATGCAAATTTAATATGTGTTTTAATAATGGATTATACTAGTATGTATAAGAACCATTTAGTAAAAAATAGATCTTTGTTATTATTATAAGAAATAAAAAAAAACAAGCTTTTTGTTTGCTATTAATGATTTTTTTTTTTTAAGTTTATCAATGTATTAATAAAATGTATTTATTTCAGAATTATATAAGTAATATAACTATTAATATAAACTATAATTATTCAAAAATCACTAAATTATTAAAATTTAATCAACACTGCTTTTTATTTTTTCAGAACCAAAATAATAGTTTAATAGAAATTTAATATTTATTTATTTTAAAATATAAAATATTTTTATTTAAAATCTTATATCATTAGTCACTTAATCTTGCCAATATTTGTTTCTGTTCTCTACACGTTTAATTCATTTAATTTTTGATCATTATTTTAATATACAATTGGTTCTAACTTTGCAAAGTGGCTGTTGTATGCTCATTATTCAATAAAATCTTTTCAAATTTATGATGACTGCAGTATTTTTATGTATCAAATTGCAACTCTATTGTTTTAGTCTACATCTTAAAGTGTGATTTGCAGACTATTGTATTCGTAATCACACAAAATATGTAGTACATTTTTAAATTGCGAATACTGAATCAATTAAAAGTCAAATAATGTTTCTATAAAATGTGATAGACAGTACTGCAAAGTTATTTATGATGCCTATTTGCCTCATGGCTGCAAAATTCATCAGTATAATGTATATATATTAATTACTGACCTGAGACTACTTATTAAATATTTATATGTTAATATAATAAAAATAGTATACATTTAGAAAACTTATTATATTTATAACTATTGTATGATGATAATATTTAAATGAATTGATTGGCAAGTTATTATATTGAAAACAATTTATTATTATAATTTAGAAAATCCTATTGTAATATTATTATTTTTATAATTTTTGAGTATTGCAGATAATTTTATTTTATTTATTTCAAATATAAAACATATTAGACTCATTTTCAATTAAAAATTACTTTGAACAATAATTAAAATATTTTCGTAAAATATAACAATACATTTTCCAGATATTTTTTTATTTTCATAATGTCCATTTTCTTTAATAGATCCACCGTAATGCCAAGGTAAAGTGTAAAATCTTCTCTATTTCTAGCAACAAAAAGTACTTGGTGGCTAGTAATGGAATTGTTAAAAATATATGAGTAACACATGTGAGAGAGGAAGGAATACTTTATAGTGCAACTACACATTTTACTCTGGTTTTGATTAAAATAAGAAGAAAACATCTTCTGGGAATACTGTAGCTTCCTTTTTACATTTATTTTGACTGTTTATATATATTTATATATTTATCTCAGTATTTGCATGCATTTGGCCTATGTAACGTGGTCATGAAAAATATAGTTAAAATGAATAATTTATAATTTATTTTCAGAAGGTTTAAGTGAAATATAATAATTTATCTATTCATTTATACATCTATGATTGTTTCTTCTTTCAATATTTTGTATATTTTTAATCCTATAAATTACTTACGTTATATGTCTTAATACAATAACTATAAAGAGTTTCTTTTACGGTTTTTTCAATATTAAAATATTAACCATTGATTAGATACTAAAATAAATAGAATTATTTTATGAATAAATATATTTATGTACACAATTATTATTTCACAATTAGTAATTACGTCCATCTTTTAGACTCATGTATGGTATACAGTTTATACAATTTAATTAAGAAAAACTAATGTCATATAAAAAACAAATTTAAAATCAACCCTTTCACTGCCGAATTAAGAATATCGGTAAAAAAACTATTTTATTTTATTAAAAATAAATGATCGAATAGTTTGTATTTGAATATACTTTGTAGGCCTGCTTTTATTTTTTGATCTATCTTGTGATCCTATTTGTTTTTTTCAAATGTAAGTTACAATTTTTATGTTTAAAATTGGGTTTGTAATCATATCGTATTTGATATGCTTTTTGTGAAATCTTTTTCTTTTTCTTTTAACATTTAATTCTCTCTAAGAGTTTTCGTTGCTATCATGATCTCTTTCCATTTCTTTCTATCCTGATCTATTTTTCTTCATTCTTGTACTCCTATTCTGTAAAGGTTCTCTTCCACAACATTTAACCAACTTTTTCTAGGTATTCTTCGAGATCTTTTTTCAATTGGTTTCCAATCTAAAACTGCTCTGTTTATATTATCCTCTTTTAAACTATTTCTATCTTGCTTATTATAAAATATTTTTGTATCATCCCTGTTTATAATGGTTTAAATAATATTTTTGATTCAATTGCCTTTGTTGACTTTAACCTCGAAAACCTCATGGAGTCATCTCGAAGACTAGTATATATTTCCTGATAGACATAAAATTTAAATTTAATTTATGATTTTAAATAATTATATAAGTGGTAACGTAAAAATATGATCATGTTTTGTTACATATTTTATTATAATTTATATATTTCGATGGTTGTGATCTTTGAACAATAGTCATGGTGACATTGATTCACTTAAAATGTTATCCGTATAACGTGTATTTTAATGAAATATTCAACTACATTATGATGTATTCATACATTTTTGACACTCAACAACAGTAAATCTATAGTGATATTTATGCATTACACTAAAAATTAGTCATTTATGTTCTTTAGGATAACATTGAAAACTATTTAAAGTAGCAGAAAAATATAAACTATTATTGATAATACAGTGCAATACTTTTAAAAATACAATATGAATTATAATATTTGTGATTTTCAATAATATTTTTTTTGTTAATTTTTTAGGTGTAGAACTTACCTCCACTATGTCCAATGGGTTTCCGATCAGTGGAGTATTCTTATTGTTCATGGTTAAACTTAAAAAATAACATAACGGACGTATTTTCCGATATCGATTCGCATCGATGCGATAAAACGGATTGTTTTGTGGTTCAAAAATGATCGTGTGGGCAGGTCGGCGGAATACAATGCAGTGGATTGTGGTTCTTGCGTTATTGTTTGTACATCGGCTGGAGCCGACCGATTCGTTTAGTTACCGTAAGTAAAATTAACATCCTTTTTAACAATCTACCAGTAAAATATATTTCTATCATTTCATTAATTTAAAAAATCATCTGTATGATTTTTACAGTTGAATTTCTAAAATTAAATTCTATACGACTTTAGTAGAAATCAACAACTTGATATTGATATTTTTAATGTATGTTACTGTTTTTAACTAAAAGAACGTGGTATTATAAATTATTATTCTTGTAAAGAATACTATTTCATAGGTATAATTATTATTGATTTATATAAAACAACATAATTTCAATAAACAATTAATAATAATAACTCCATAATTAATTACAACATCATGGCTAAAAGTTGTTCTTGATAATGATAACTTTTTAAAAAGGAAAATCAAACAAAAATAAACTAATTTATGTATAATTGTGTAAAAAATAAATAATAATTTTACGTGTAAATGTATGAAATTATAATTTAAATTAATAAAATTAAAATACTTTTGTTTAATTTTATCAAAATTTCAAATAAAATGTCAATGATATTGTTTATTAAGTTGTATTAATGTTATACCTGAAATACTATTGTGTACTTTATTGCATTATTACTAAGCCGGACTTGAATTTAATACATTTCTACATTTTTATTTTATATAATACATTCTAATATTGCATTACTCAGCATTTTATTTATATTTAAATATATTAAGCTGTTACTGATTTAGTTTAACTCAAGTACCTATTGATGGACAAATGCAACTAAATTTGAACCAAATTCTAATAAGAAACTATAGAATAATGATATGGGCTATGTTATGTGAATTCTAGATATTTCATATACAATTAATAGTTACAATAACTATAGGGGCTTATATTTAATAATTAATTAAATATAATTAATTTAATTAATTTAATAACAATTATTGTAAAATTATATTAATAATACAAATGTTGTAGTTTTTTAATACTATATTTTTCAAATGATATTAATTCAATCCAAACATTAAATAAGTATTCGAAACTAAAAAGGTTAGGTTATTAACGAATAATAATACATTTGATTTATTGGTTATTGATATTATAATCCTTGAATTTAATATAATAAACTATTATTATTGTAATACAGATATTAATTATAAATAGAAAATAATAACAATCATATAGTAAAATTGTATAATTTTGATGATTCTAAAATGTGCATGTTTTATGTCTGAGAATGTCTTTACTCATAAAAATTTGTGTGTTCAATTTTAAATTAAAATATGTATATGACTGTTAGGACACATAATGGTACAATTAATACGTATATATAGTTATATATAATTAGGGAACGGATTTATATGTAGATGCATATTTTTATTAAAACGAGATATTTAAGAATCTATAAGAAATGTTTATGATTTAAATCATTCCTATTAAAATTATGATACTTTTATTTTACATATTCTTACATATTTTGGTATAATTACATTTTTTTTACATATTTCACTAATATTTAAATATTTTTAAACATATTTTTATCATTTCATCATTCATACATCTTCTTCGTACAAAAATACAAGAAACTATTTCAAAATTAGATCCAGAAACTTTTATTGCTATTGGAAAAGCTCAAAATATTATGCAAAATGTAACATTGAAAATAATTTAATTTTAATTAAAAATAATTTAACAAAATTATTAATAAAAGATATGTCCCCAAATGATAGTATGCAAATTGTTGAATCAGCGATTAAAACTCGTAAGCGGACCAATAAATGTCGTAAAAAAGAAAATTCATGCTGTTACAGAAAAAAATTCCAGGCAATATTGATTTTAAAACAATCAATGACATAATGAATGGCAGACAACCTTTTAAAAATTTGGAATTATCGCCTTCTGATAGTATGCACTTGAAATATGCTTTTAATACATCGGTTGATGTGAAACGATAATTTAGCCATTTTAAAAATATTTTGATACCCAATAGGCGACATTTAACATTTGATAATTTACAAGATATTGTAATAATTCAATGCAACAAATCTTTTTGATAATTTATTAATAATAATCACTTTTTTTTTTAAATTTTTTTCCCCCACATATTTGGATGTTTTTAGCACATATTTTATAAATTATACTTACATATATACGAGTATGTACATATTTCTGTATTTTTATTACATATAAATCCGTTCCCTATATATAATTAATAAGTATATGTAGTTTGATCTGTGGCTGTATTCTATTACTGATTTTTGAAAATATGATCATCTTCTTACACGTTTACTTTAAAACATAATGTATGAATACTGATTTTGCAATATTTTACGTTTATTTTATTATTTTATTAGAATAAAATGATAATTAATTATAATTTGTATGTTTCCAAGCAGTCTCACGAACCGTTTAATTTTCTTCAATTTATTATAATTTTATTCAATATTTATTAGGAATATAAATATGTATATTACTTTATTTGTATTGACTGTAGTGAATAGATATGCTACGGTATTTACTTTGATTAAATATATACTCGATGATCATTAGATCATACGTATTTTTTGTAAATATTAATTTTATGTCATATAACAAACACAAACAATGTTAAATAAAATTATATTACCACGTATCAATTAGTATTACAATATTATTCATCAATAAATGTTTATTATTCAATCATATACTCTTATACAGTGTATAATTAATTTAAAAAAAAATATAGTAGGTATGTAAAATATTCTCTGAGTCATCTATCTTAAACTATAAATTACTTATCTTTCAGTATAAAATGCTATAAAAGTACATTTAAATAAGAGTAGTCGAGTAGATAACTCAATTTGTTTATTAATATTCTTATAATCAAACCTTAAAGGTGTCCAAGAGACATAATGGTGAAATAATCTTGAATTGTAAATACTTTTATTGTTTTCAATGTTGAATGAATCATGGTTTTCTTAAATTTTATTTTTATTTAATTCGAATCAATCATCCTTAATTAATACCCTTTTCAAAAATAAAATGTACTTTAATTCTCAGTATAAATGTTTAGTGAATCTCATATAATATTTTTATATAATTTATTGTATTATATTTCATTAAAATGAAAAAACTCTATATCTTACTCCATAGACGTAATAGGAGACTAAGGTAAACAAATTCAATCGATAAAATTTTGTACTCGATACGTGAACAACTGCATTCTATGCGTGTTGCACAACGCACCGAAGACTAGTGCGACGTTCGAATGACATGAAAGGAGGGTAGAAGGACAAATGGATTTCAAACCCAGTGAAAAGAAGAAAGAAAATATTATTGTAGGAACCCCGCCCCGGCCCTTATCGATTGCCTATTTTACCGCCTTAAACACTTCTCTGAATTTGACAGCGAGACCACCGCCTGTTCGTATATTTACAGTTCTTGTCGAACCCAACATTTTTACTCATTCCTTCGTTTACCATTCTGCTCTATTTGTGCCACATTGCTTCACCTTCTTCAACGGTAACATTTTGTTGTTTTTTTTTCTTTCCTCTATCCAGTAGACGTCGAAGGGCGTTTTGAAAAATTGTTCACAGCGAGAGAATTCTCTCTCGTTCCAGACGTGTCGAATTAATCGTGTTCTTCACTACATTTATTTCTTTTTTTGGCCAAATCTTCATGTCAACAAACCTCTTTCTTTCATTTTCTGCAACCAAACATGTATACCATGATTTTATTTGATTTCCTTGTGTTAAAATGTTTTAAAAAATAAGGCAACAATAACGAGCGTTTAAAATGATATTTAATTTAACTAACATTGTTGAAGTATATTTTACACTGGAAATATCATTCTTAAAGTTTTTTTTTTTGTTTTGTTAAAACATTATAGTAAATTCTTTAAGCTTAATTGTTCACATTTAGTTATATTAAATTTTGCACAAATACCAATATACCAATTTGTAATCATTTGAAATACAAATTTTTTTTATAACATGAGATACTAACATTTTCACAATATGAAATATTATTTTAAAATTCAATCAAGAAGTAATAAGATCCCTGTGGAATGGGATCAAAATATTTCCACGGTTTCTCAGCCAATCGAAAAAGATGACTTAATGAGGTTGCGTCAGGTCGCCGGTGTAAAATTTTGTCAATGAGTATGATGAATCCGAAACAAAATTTGGGCGGTTTGTCCCATCTCAGATGTGCGGGAGGATGACAGATAAAAAAATGTATCATAATTAGAGGTGAAGGAGACGGAGAAGATAAGTGTGTGATACTAACCGGACCGCCAGTATGGTAACTATTTCGTCATTTATGTGTTCAGAATCTGAACTTCAGATCTACCCAACACGGGTAATGTCAACAGTACAGAGACATCTCCATTACACATTGGGTTGAATCTGCTCCTAGGTATGAGAAATAGGTATAAAGTGAGAATAGGCACGTGGAATGATGGAACGTTAGGAGGTAAAATCGAAGAATATATTTCAGATGTATTGAAGAGGAGGATTAAAAAAAATGTATTATTAGTATAAATAAATTTACTTGTATTATTTTATGGGTTGGAAATGTCTTAAATAGGGTTAAATATTTTTTTAAGTATTATTAGATTTTGTTTTTAATGATTTCGGGTCCAAACCAAGTTAATGGAGTAGCTCGTAAACATTACGATCCTGAGTATAAGTTAGGCATTCTCTAATTATAAAATTTCACATATCTGACGGAATGAGCGATTCCTCGAGCTTAACAAACATATTAACTATAAAGGTACAATAATGTAGTAAAAGAAAATAAATATTTTTATTTGAAATTACTGAATAAATTAAGATTAATGCTTTTAATTAAATTATATAATTTATTTGTTATCTTCGTATAACTTTAAGATTTTATTTGAATTTTTAATCGAAGCTTTCAATATTATGTTCATAAGTTGCGTAAGTAAACATCATGATCATGTTATTTACACCAGATGGATCTTAATCAGTTATCATGCTTGAAGTTACTTTAGAGGTTCAATGATAATTATTGAAAAATAAAAATAAATTATAATTATTCAAAATTATTTTA